TAAATATTGGTTCCCGTGAAAGCAATAGGAAGTAAGGTTATATTTATGTCTACTTCCTTTAGAGACATTAGAGACCATTAGAGAATGTAAAAAAGATCAGGCAATACACTAATTGAAAACCACGTTAAAATTAAAAATATTATACATAGTCCTTATAGTCCGGTCGAGTATGTAATACGTACAATTGTTAAAGGTTGCCTAATACAGTGGTCGCTTTTGTTAAAAATTTGGCCCAATTAAGATTAATTTAAGAAAGTGCAAAACTTTTGGCTTTTTTTCTCGTGCGCCAAAATTTTGCGCCCCCCCAAACTCAGGCGCCCTAGGCAACCGCCTAAATTTCGCTTATGTCGCGCCGGCCCTGCATATCATATCTGTTTGTGTTATCACTTACTGGTAAATTGAGTAACTTTAATCCAATTTTATTTAGATGTCCCAATCTTCTATGCCACACATCTTCATTTTGTGTTATATTACAACACATTTCTGGTTGAATATATTTATTTTCATCTTTAAATTTTAATTCTAATATAAATAACCCTTTTAATGTTTTGCATTCAATTTCGAATACTTTTGAATATAACTTTATAAAATTTTATGTAAACGTTACTTTTATTCCTTTTTTTAATTAGTTGTGAAACTGATAGCAAATCATGTTTTAATCCTTCTACTATTAATGCATAATTGTAATTTGTCTTTCTTTATAATATGCATTTAGAGTTGCTTTTCTTTGCCAACATATAATTACCTTGTATTTTCACCAAGGTTTCCAAATTTTCAACATCTGTTGCATAGGACATTTCCTCGCACAATAAATGTTGAGTTGCCCCGGAATCGAGTATGAAATAGTTCCTTACATTTTCTTGTATAAAAATATTCAATGTAATAAAGGTGATATTATTTGTATGTGTGTACTTTATTTGCAGTTTCAATTTATATCCTCTTCCTCGTCCACGATACTTAAAATCTCTTCTTCCTTTGAAATTGAATTGTGCTTGTTGTTTACATTCATTACTTTTATGTCCACTTTTACCACACGAATAACATGAAAAAGGAAATGCTTTGAAAGTTACTTCTTTAATATTTCTTGATTCACCTTTACTTTTCTGTTTTAATTCTGTATTTAATGTTTATATAGCTGTAATAACTTATCATAATCTTCGTTTAATGACAGTAATAAATGACAAATCTTATCAAATTCGTAAATTTTTGCTCCTATACTTTCCAATTCTCTAATATTACTATCAAATTTTAAGAAATAATTTTCTAGTTTTTCTTGTTTCTTTAATTTTAATGTCAATAATTTCCTTTTAAGTGTTAACTTTGTAAATACACTTTTTCCTTGAAAAACATCTTCTAAAGATTTCAACATTTCCTTTGCTGTTTTTGAATCCTTTATTAAATCTAAGTGTCGATCTGTTATGCACTGAATTATTATAGATTTCTAACGTGCATCTTTAATTTTGAATTCAGATTTTTCTTTATCATCTTTTATATTTTCTATATCTTTCTCTAAAGTACTTTCCAATAATCTTTCTTCAAGTAATGCTACTAGATGAAATTTCCTGTTAAAAAATATTAAATATTATACTATTCTCTACGAAAATTTTCAGAATTTAGTTGTAGGTAGGTTTTGTATATTTTGATTCATTTTTATTTTATATCTTCTTAATACTTCCTTTATTTAATTGTTTACTTCTCTGAGCTCTGGGTCCATAACCTGCTGTAATTATTTATGCTCAGAGAGCGTGTTAAAGCTTGTACAAGAGGAAGAACGTTTTATATTATTTTTATTTTATTACATTGCATGTAAACAACTGTAACCACATCCATATTTTTATATCAACTAATTTGATAAGCAAAATTCAACAAAGTATGTCCTCACTTACACCTGGTCATTTCCTTATTAGATGACTACTAACATCAACTTTAGAAGAAGATGTGTCAATGGTTCAAAGTTCAAATCATTTAATCCGATACCAGAGAGTACAACAGATTGTTCAACACTTTTGGAAACGCTGGCAGAAAGACTATTTGGAGAAGTTACAATCAAGAAAGAAATGGTGTAAATCTAGTGTATCTCTACCACAACTAGAAGACCTTATTGTGATGAAGGAAGACAGTTTTCCACCTTGGGTTCTAGGTCGTATCGAAACACTTATAATGGGCAGTGATAATGTTCCAAGAGTGGCAGAAATAAAAACCAAATCAGGTTTAATAAAACGATCCCTCAAATTATTATGTTTATTACCTATTAATCAACAAAAATTGAAATAATTTGTATTATGATGTTATTACGTATTATTTGTTCACATTATCTGTTATACTTTATTGAATGGGGGAGAGTGTGTTATGACTAAAGGTAATAGAGATCAGGGTCTCAAAATAGGTAATGAAAAAATTAGAATCAGAGTGTGCTAAATGTTTACTAAGTGATTGCCTATTGCATAACTTCAAAAGACGATCTTGTAGAATTGAATCTTTAATCTGATTCTAGGAATTTCTGAAAACTCTGTGTTGAGCTGACAAACACATTTCGTATTTTTTTTGTTATTAACATTTTTATTTGGTTTTCTACAAATTAGGTAAAAATTTCACCACGCAAAAACGGTAAACATATCTTTTAATCGTTTTAATAAGAAGATTGTATTAAATTAATTAAATTAATTTAGATACCTTAATATTAAATTAAAAGACTTATTATAAAATAAGTTCAAAATTAAGCTTCACCAGCTTAAGAGATTTCGTTTGATGGTCGTTTGATTTACTACACAACTGGTTAACAACAGTAAGCTACTCAAATTCATGAACAAATCTAGAACAGTGGACCTATGCGAGGAATACTTTAATAAAAATGTAAATGAATGTTTACTGTTAAACATTATTAACCAGAAGCAACATTTTCTCAGATACGTTTAAATAATACAANAAAATAATCAAAACGTATGGGATTAGCTTTCTTTGTAAATGTGATGGTAACACATTTTCTAAAATTTAGGCTAATAAAATTTGTCAGACAATATTGAGCAAGGTCGAAGAGATCGCGCTGAAGAGCAGAACAATCCTTAGGGCCAGATACACGGCAGAAAATTTTTAAATCGTCAGCGTACATTAAACAGTTTGAATGTTTAAAACAATGAAAAATATCATTAATGTAAATATTGAAGAGCAAGGGGCCAAGGATACTTCCCTGAGGGACACCGAACGAGACGGCCACAGCCTGTGAGGAAGTATTCAAGAAGATTAGTCTCTACTGAGCGCCCAGCAAAAAACCATGTTGTCGTTGGTCTAAAACATTCTTAACAATGTAAAAAATTGGTTTATAAATTAAGCTCTCGAGAACATTGCCGAATATAGGCAGTAGAGAAATGGGCCTGCAATTTTTGACGGAACATCTACTGCCAGATTTGAATATAGGTACAACTGTGGCACGCTTCCATATTTGCGGAAATACGCACTCTCTTAAGGATCTATTGTACAAAACTGTTAAAGGCTCACTAAGAGATTCACAGCAGTTTTTAATGAGAACAGGAGGTACACCGTCGTCATATTTAATTAAGCCCATTTTTATCAATAACCCTTTAATATTGCTGTAAAAAACAAGTTTATCCTCTTGGGAAAAATAACCCAAATGCTCCTTTTCTCTTTCACGATAAAAAGTAATTTTTGCATTTGGCGCAAGCAAATTCTTCTCTTTCAATCGCAACGCCAACAATTCAGAGGCTGGTTTTGAAAGGTTCAACTCTCTTGCAAGATCATCGAGCTCGTTTTGTAAAAAACATTAGGGGCAGACGGTAAACCTTCAAAATCTGATGAGCACAACACTGGCTGGAGAGTCTGGGGTTGTTATGTTGACGTTACCACCCCATACATCAAATAGACTCCAGCCGCTTGATGTTATCGTTTTGGCACCATTCAAAACATATTTATCTCGAGAAATGAATAACTGGCTTATTAATCATCCTGGTTGTAGACTAACAGAATACGAAATCCCCATTATTATCAAAAATGCTTTCATTAAGGCTTTCACACCAAACAACATTATAAAAGGTTTTGTTTGTGACATATTTCAAGAAAGCGATTTTAATTAAATTTAAACTTGTTTGGTATAAATTTGTTTTATGATTAAAACTTTACAAACTGTGGCCTGTTTTACCTTAACATGACTCACTTGCCTCGCTCTCCCCTAACTGTTACAACAAATTAATAATAATTTAGTTAAAGCGCTTCTAGTGGCTTTAGAGAGTTTTACGTAGCAACACGAAAAATAACATCGTAATAATCTCCTCGTATAATAAAAATCACAATTTAAAGTTTTTTAATTTATGTAAAAACAATAACTAATATATGGACGTGGTAGATTCGACGCTAAAGGTAATAGAGATCAGGGTGTCAAAATAAGTAATGAAAAAATTAGAATCAGATTGTGCTAAATGTTTACTAAGTGATTGCCTATTGCATAACTTCAAAAGACGATCTCGTAGAGTTGGTGTCAAGGTTTACAGGTGTACTAAACCGTCAGGTCAAACGAGATTCCTTGGGATTGCGGCAACACTAGTGTCAAACTGTAGTGCTCGCCGAATAATGTGTGGAGAATTCGGTGTAATTGGTGACAAAGGTGTTGATTAATCGCCAGTATAAACAGTCTTAAAAGTAAACAAGGGTCTTTTGGCGATAGAAATTCAAATTGTGACATAGGATTATCTGAGTCTGCCAAGTGAAAAGCTAGATAACTAGGTCCTGTTGAATTTACTTCATAAAAAACTATACCCATTATTAATTTTTTTTATAAAGTTTAGTTATGTAACGGCATTTTTATGATCTTGTGCTTATTCCAGAAAAGTTATTCTAAACAAACAATCCCTTTAATCTGATTCTAGGAATTTCCGAAAACTTTTTGTGTTGAGCTGACAAACACATTTCGTATTTTTTTTGTTATTAACATTTTTATTTGGTTTTCTACAAATTAGGTAAAAATTTCATCCACGCAAAAACGGTACATATCTTTTAATAAAACGATTAAAAGATATGATAAGAAGATTTTATTAAATTAATTAAATTCATTTAGATACCTTAATTTAAATTAAAAGACTTATTATAAAATAAGTTCAAAATTAAGCTTCACCAGCTTAAGAAATTTCGTTTGATGGTCGTTTGATTTACTACACAACTGGTAACAACAGTAAGCTACTCAAATTCATGAACAAATCTAGAACAGTGGATCTATGCGAGGAATACTTTAATAAAAATGTAAATGAATGTTTACTGTTAAACATTATTAACCAGAAGCAACATTTTCTCAGATACGTTTAAATAATACAAAACATAATATACCTACATCTCTTATTGTCACTCACCTTCGCTCTTTCCACTAAACATTTTGTGATCAGCGCCCTTTTACATTTTTATGTCCATCTAATCTACGGCTTATTTGCATTTACGCCTATTTGTAACAATATTCTTAATACTTTTTAATAACCTCTAACTTATTTGTATTGCTTATCTCGACCGGTTTTAATTTTCTGTGTTAATTTTAATTTTTATAAATGTACTTTTTAATTAACTATCTGTTGCCATTTTTTATGATTCCGACTCTATAGTGTATAATACATCGTCTATGTTCAAAATAGTGTTATAATTGACGGTATTTATTATTTTCAATAATATTTTTTTTATATTTTATGCGCTACCAATCTATCCTTTTATTTTTTTCTTTGCTTAATACAGTCGTGTCTGAAGAAGAGTAATTTTTACTCGAAAAATATGTAGTAGCGATATTCTGAAATAAAGGATTTCTAAA